TATTCGTTTGTGGTATTTATTTTTTCTTCCAGACACATCAGTTTTTTACATTGCATCCCGCAAAACAAGCAAAAAGCTTTTCTATAGCCGTACATGTTACATTCCTCCAAAAATTAGATGTATATCTTTTTCGATGTTCTAATTTTCGTACTGTTTTACTGTATGGTAGATGCATATCGTTTTTCAAACGTTATTTTTGGTACATCTTCCCCAACAAGGTTCTTAGCATTCTTGTTTTCTTTTCCAGGTGCGACGGGCACTGGACGAGAAGCAAACGAAGCACGAGATCCAACGGACGAAAATCCCCGAATCGATGTACAAACACCCTATTAACATAGGTCAAAGTAGTTGAAGAATGAACGATCAATTCATGGTTGTTTGCTCAAACCCAACTCCATATTTTGGCGGGAGTCATCGATACTGCAGTCATCGTTCTATCGTTTGCTGTTTGTTAGAAGACAGAGAAAAACTATCAGAAGTATTATCGTGATTAATTGTTATGACATTTATCCTTAGACTTTGTGTACAACAACCTTGTGGTTGGTTCTGTATTGGCGCAAGAATATAGGATTCTTGAATCACCAATTTGTGTTCTGGTTTCTCGCTTTGGTTATTGATAGTAGTTTGTGAAAGTATTCTAAGAACAGCGCTAAGTCCAGGGTAGTTAGACCTGGACATTGACAGTTTCTGATAGTTTTTGGAAGTATTCGCTGTATTTGGTGGCAATTCGTCTTTCGTTGCGTCTGCAAGTCTTCTTTGGACAAGTGTTATTTGGAACTTCTCTGGATCGTCTGGTAAAGTTCAATAATGCCTGGGCCAAGGAAAGGACGAAGCACTTTGGAGGCAGACGACAAAGTAAGTCTTCATGATTTGTCTAATGTGTGTAATGTTATGTCTGATGTTATGTTGGACAAGCATGATGTACCAGCCAGGGAGATAAGTTGCTTGAAGCCACCGAAGTTCGAGCCTAGGTGCTTTGAAGGGAATCCTGCTGACTTTCCTCACTTTGTGAAAGAAATCGAAGTCATGCTAGAGGGCCTGAAACTAAGTGATGAAATGAAACTAATGTACTTGTTGAGGTGTTGTGCCGGAAGTGCAGCGAGTGCAATACAGTGCTGCAAGTTTCTGCCACCTAGGGAGGGATACATGGTTTCTTCTCCTAACGCCGCCTCAACCAGTGAGGGCAGAACATATAACTTGCTCAAGGATGCTTTTAGAGTATTGGGATACAATTTACATCGCAACGCCGTAACCACGCCCTTATTCCTTGAAAATCCAATTTTCTGTAGCTTTACCTTTGATTTTTATTGTTGTAAACTGATCGGGTTCCCAAGGAAGCCTGTGGTGCTCGCCTTAGATCTTCTGTAATTCCATATTATCAAAGTTACCTAAGTTCCTCAAATCATCCGAATAAAATGTTTCAAGGAAGAAGGGGTTCTTTCGAAACCGATTCTCCTATCCGAATAACCTTAAGACCACCGGTAAGTAGTGCCTAAAAGTAAGGAGGCAATAGTTGTAGACGAACATGTGTTTAGTAGGCGTGCTGGTGAGCAAGAGAGGTGGTATTGTCTAATCGGACTCACGGAAGGGCGTTCACTATTGAATGCCTCTCAGCAGAGACACAGAAACTCATGAATCATAATGGAGGCGTGGTGTCCACTCAGTCACCTGTCTCGTCTGCTTCTATTCCTTGATTACAAACCCCTTACCAGACAACCTTTGTGTTACAGCATGCTCTGACGTCTGTACAGACTCTACATCAGCTTCCATCTAGAAGCGACTTTGCTAAGAATCTTGGTTCGATTAACCTTTGTTGGTTATCCATGGTTTCCCATCGAGTTCATTTGTTCATGCATGCCGACTTCAAGCTTCATCTCCGAGAGGAGTATGATGCTCCAGACGAATAGTACTCTGAATCATGTCAGTATGAAGATGCTGAACATGCGTAGTATATATGTACACAATAGGCTAAGGTTGTTTACTCAGTGTGTAAGAAATCATAGAAATTTTGTAAACTCATTTCCTGGCTGGTGTTTCCTAATGAACTTACTATACCAGGCTGCTATCGCGTGCCTTAATTTTTATGCCTCCAGAACTACCAAGAATACGTCTCTTAGAGGAGTAAGCAGGATAATCTCCCAACAGACAACGTCCGAAAACAAGAAGCCGATAAGCAAACCGGATCAACAGGACAATTCTATTGATATCACTGATAGTTCGACAAACAATCAAAGTAATGCAAACAATCACGTTTCAATCTTTAGACAACTCACAAGTAATGGGGAGACGAAAAGCCCTTTCTCAGACAACCGCTTTGTTGATAGAGAAACTATATTAAGCATAATAGCGAAAAAAGTCGGTTCAAGACGGCAAAAGCCCGCCGCAATTAAAAACACAGATCGTGGCGGTCTGGCAGAAAACACCGACGCTTCACCGCAAGTTTTCACGATTGCTGATCTAGACCTGTAATCTCTCGGCGCAGACTTCTTAGAAAAGCCCGAAGAGTCGATTGACAGTGGAAGAGATGTCCAGGTATACTAGCGGCTGGAGGCCTGGTCACTATATCTAATCTCTACTAGTGTCAACTGAAAGAGCTAAATAAATACTGGAGGGTCATCCAGATCTAACCGTGATTTGCACACAAACATCAATGGTCAGTCTGAAAATTACATATGCGCCAATAATATAAGGCCCCCTAGATTCTGCGAAGAAATGGAGGCTAGCCCGTGACAAAATAAAAGTGGCGAAGGCAGAATTTGGCTTTATAAATTGGTTGAGAGGATTGGGTGTCAATTGAGTAGTCACTGGGCTGCACCACTGCAAATGACAGCTAAGAAAAATAAAAATAACTATAGTCCTTCTGACGATCACAGTGCCTGAAGTAGGCAGACGTTCATGGATACACACTCAGTACCTTACATTCAGGACAGAAACGGACTTAGTCTGAGCCTATCGCTATGTTCTGAGGAGCGAGTAAGATATTCCAAAACAACCATAACCACCTAGTTCAAAAAGTATGAGTTTGTGCAGATGCAGATGCTGCAAAGATGTGTAGAGTATTTATGAACGAACTGTCGTGGGGACTACGTTTGCCCATACCTACATGTAGGACTTAGTCATCGCCAGCCCGAATACAAAAACGAGTGGACACCATTTCAGTTACTGTTACAGAAACTGAAAAAAAGCAAAACAGCTATTCGGAGTAAGTAAGCTCTTGGAGTAGAGGCGAAAGAGTTCCTAGCCCATATCAACGATAATAAAGGGATAACATCAACGTACAACGAGGTGGAATCTATCTGGAGGTACCCATCATCTACTGTGCTCGCTCAACTCAGAAGCCTTGTTGGGTTGACTAAATTTTACCAGAATCTGAAATCTAATTGCGGCCAGCCCATCAAGCCCTTTCCTGATGCGCTAGACCAAAGGACTTTCACTTATCAGATCAGACAACGGTTGCCACAGCACAAATGAAAAAGGATCTGGTGGATGTAAGAACCTTGTCTTGATACAGAAGCATCTTGTACAACAACGTTAGATACATCCGAGAAGGCTGTGGATGTACCCTTAAATCAGTTTGTTGGCGGTGGCTGGCGACCAATGGAAAACTTTTCTAAAGATTGGTTGGTAAACTAATTAGCCAATAAAAACATTCGCACACTGCAGAAAACAGACTGTTCACGATCCACACAGACGACAGACCTTGGACCTGCTCACTCAACACGAAAACTGACAAACACTCATCACTGAAGATTCGTCAACTTCACTTGATATTACATTTCGCCAGTGATATAGAGCAAAAGAATGGTGGGGATAGCTTTGTGGCTAATAAACTGCTCAGAATACGTTTGAAAACAGTGCGACAAACCACCACAGACGGGAATATCTTGGCCGAGCATCAGAAGTAGGACAAAAATTAAAATGCACATTCACTAAAATAATTTCGGTCACAAACTCAAATAATGATTACACAAGGCAATATGATATGCTGAAACTCGTCCAGAAACTCACTTGGACCTGTTCATTCTCAAGACTATGAGTAAATTCATGATTAGTACCTTCTATAAGTTGTCATACTCTGGATCGAAAGCTTCACCTATAATAATCTCTACAAAACAAGTTTGTCGAAATCTACAATGCAACGTTCAGAAGTGGACAAGGGGGTGTGTATCGTACCAAAAAGGGAATACCAACAGACAAGTGAAATCCTGCCAGTGATGGCCTCTATTCAGTGTGATAAGGATAACCATCAGGTCACGACAGATCTCGTGAAACTAAGACAGGGCAGTGAAGTAACTGGCAACGTGGACATCCACCGAGGAGCAAAGACTATTACTTCATAGTTACGAAGTGTGTGCCAGAAAATACATAAAGATATTGAGGCCTCTAACATCTTGCTTTTAACTGTTCAATTTTAGTCATTGCCTAGCAACTGAAACATTCAAACTTTAAATGGGACCCCAATCGAGAAAATCCGAATCAACAGCAGAAGCTCTGAAGAATGCAGAATTTTCCATAGAAGAATATTTGAAAGCTGTTTTTCACGAGAAGCTACTAATGTAAATGTCCCTATTATTACCTAATAATTGTTAAGAAATGCGCCAGCAAATGAAGACAGAAACTTAACAAACTCTACTAAGCTGTTAGAAAAATACAAAGAACTAAAAAATGTACAGAGTGCTCTGTCTGCAAAGAAGGAGGTCAGTTATTTTATGATGCCTGACTTAGGTGAAAAGGAATTCCGAGTTAAGATGGAGTGTATTCAACGAAGAAGAGAAGAACTTGAAAAGAAGGAATGTGAACTGAAGGAATCCCTCATCAAATTTGACCAGTTCTTTAAAGACAATGATGAGAAGAGAGTCAGAGCAATGAAGAAAATATCGACAGAGAAGAGTTTACAGCAGCAGAAACAGAATGAGATTGATATGTAAACAACATGTGTATGTATCATGAATAACAGTTTAAACTCAGATATATCACGTTTCACAAAATTACGGGAGAAGCAGGAAAAGAAAGTTAAATCACTCTTGAAATACCGTCTGTTCCTGGAGTCAGTTGTGAAAATATCTGATGAATTCTCGGACGTTTATGAGCTTATTTCTAGGTATGATGCCCTAAAAGCTAACCTGGAGGTAAGTCACTTGACTTAGTCGTCAATTCGTCAGGATTTGAAAGCATCGGATGCGAAGAACCAGAAAATCATAGACGAAAAGAATAAAGAGTTATTTTACTTCAAAAAAGTATCTTTGTTATTCCAATAACACAGAGTTTAAGATGAAACAAGATGAAAAGCTTTCTATGACTAACGAAATAGCTGATCTTCGTAATCACTTGGAGCTCCAACAAGTACAAGGAAGAAACAATGAAACTCAGTGGGAACAAACAAGAAATTTAGCAGCGAATCGTATTTATGAGCTTAGCACCATTGTTATGTAAGATATATTTACATGTGACTAGACTTTCTTACAGAGCTATTGCCAACATGTATGCGCTTGTACGCACGCATCAAAAATATGGTGAAACAGCCAAACCCAATGAGACTTGCAAGCAACTTAGAGCGGTAAGCAGTGAAATTTGTTCTAAAGTAACTTATTTAATTGATTTTATAAAGGTAGGAAGTGTTTTTAGTTCCACGCCATGTTACTATTGTAACGCTGATATTTTAGAACAATGTTTGGGTGAATCTGATCCTTGAAAACCATTCAGCTTCATAGTGCTGCCAAAATAAGTAGGCAGTGTTAATTCTTTTATCCGCAATCCAATATTTGCCTAAATTGGCCACCCTGAAAGGGTTGTTGTGCCCAGAAATGTTACAAAGCCCTCGGTTTTTAAAGGATAAGTCATATTTTTGGATTCTTCTCCCTTAGATATAAGGTAATCCTGTGACCTTTTGAACATGAGTTTAGATTGTGGAGGCTATTTTAAGCCGAATTACTGTCAGCTGGTAAGTTATTTTATGACTCATGGGAAATTTCTTGGCGATTTGGTAGATGGTGTGGCAATGCACTTTGCCATATAGCTCTAAAACGTCTCACAAATCATAAGCAGGGAATGAAATTTCACCACTGGCTGAAATATAACTTAAGGCAATAAGTTACTCTGGTGTCATCTAAGAAGTTAGAGACAGACGCTTGGATAAAGGTATTTTTGTATAATAGTTTATTTTGAATAAATGAGAAACAGTTTGTATTGTTGGCCTCTCAGTGAGTTCATATCTTCAACAAATATAAGATCGAGGACATTTTTGGAAAATGAGCATCGCAAAGTCAGTCTGTTAACATTTCCGTTTTACTATGTTATCTGTCACTTACTTTTCTTTACCTCAGCAACTAATTGAAATCGAGTTTTAAGTTTAGTTTTCCTCACGAAAAGTTGACAAAAGGAATTCAAAGACAACTTGAGTTTCGGTATGATTCGAGCCTGCACTTTGCGCGTCACTTTTCGATTGATATACTATCTGGCTCACAAAACAAATATGCCAATGGCTTTCCGACGTCATTGAGATCAGTTTTAATCTTACTGAAGAAATTGCACTGTAATAGCTTCTGAGATAGGCTTTTTTAGTCACAATGAAGTACATTTTAATGAGTTAGTCCATGCCGAAGACCGTGGTAGCTCTTAGTCACTCAGTTCCACCCGTTGTATTATTATTTAGTTATCGATATGCAAGTTTTCAAAGAGTAGCAACAGATCTAGGTCTGTACGAAGTCCTGTATCGAATTACAAGTCAAATTATATGGTTTAAAATGGAATAATTATTATTCAGAATTTTATATATATTATGAAATAAGACTGTACACACCCACTAATCACAAAGTTGAATGTTTATCATTCTGAGTATGGAAATGTTCTTTGATACAAGGTTTATTTTCCAGTTGTTGCACAATAAAATGAATATTACTATCATGAATGAAAAGTATAGCACATTTGCATGTATGAGTGATGAACGAGTTTAGAATAAGTGTGTTAATTTCAACTTACTTTAATTTCAGATTAAAAATTTTATACAAACTTTAGTCAGAATCATTGAAGAAGTTACACAGAACTCTTAGTATTGTTTTTAATGGAGACTATGTATTATCTAACAGAAAAATATAATCATGTGCAAGGGTGTGTTTTCGTCTTCTGTGTGTGTGTGTAAGGAATTCATCTGGATTTTTTTCACTAATATTACCATTATCTGGGTCATTACTATTATTTCATTCATTCTTATCTTACATTAATGGGCTGTAATAGTTAAGCAGGAGGATGACTAACTGAAGCTTTATTCACATCTCTTATTTCTTTGTTAAACGTCAGAATCAACTTATATATTCACATGAGGTTAGAATAAAACGAATAAGCTTTATAAAGCTAAAGAGTCAGTATTGAGTGACCTGCGCAAAAGTGAGGCGATTCCTTACTACGCATTTTCCGTAAAGTCAGGTGAGTGGCTGTCAGAAGTCTGTTTATGTACAACACTCCCCTTGCATCTCTTCAGGTAGAGCTATACGCAATTATAAATAACTTTTTGTTCTTCGTACATGAATTTCCCTTTTTTAAATTTGGATAAGGAAAATTGAATATAGGTGCAGAATGGTACGGATACATTCTCACTCTGCGGTCCTCTTCAGCTGCGTAGAACCTGATAAGTCAGTAACATTTCCGCATCAGAACATATTCAAAATGCAGTGAGTAGTATTCATAAAATGGAAGAATCAAAATTTGATGTGTAGGAAGTATGACAAAAATATGATAATGCAACACCGTGAGAAGAACGGAAAGATTCTGAAATGAGGTGAAAGCAAAGTATGTAATCCGAGGACAAAGAGTGACCGGAAAGGGAGTTACCAGGGTGACTGAATTTTTAGGAGGGATTTCTTTTGGAATCATGGGTCAGTTTTTACCCTCGTCATACAGATAAAAACGGGCCGTTTTTCTGCTTATTGTTTTGGTCATATCCCTACGCGTCACCATGGAGTTCATTTTCTGTCAAAAGTTTGTTGACTGACGAGTTCAAACTATTCGAGGGCTCCTCGGTACATATTCAAAAAATTTAACGCAGGTCCTACTTTTTATACTCCTGATGTAACTGCTGCCAGAAAAGTGCGTGAACGATATGCACAGCTGCAGATAACATATCCGTGCTGCTTGTCGATTTTTGTTCGTGGAAATAAGCAAAATGTACAGAGCAGAGAAATCAGTATTACTGCAGGATACGTCCTGGACAGTGAGTGTTTTACCTTAAGGTTTAATTTTCTCCCTCATGATAGCATAAGCAATGGTCTACTCAAATAAGAATCGAATATTTAGTTTGGTGACTAGTAATGTTTGGCTACTTACACTTCTTCTAACCATATTTGTTGGTAAAACTTTGTGAGTAACCATAGTATACTGCTTCTAAGAAATCCAGAACCATATTTTGTAATCAAATTTTCATTTAATTGAACAATACATCTGAGTTATATATAAAATGCAAAAGATGGGATTTTGTAAAGTAATGCACTAAAATACACATAAATATAATCATAGAATATAGAAACCTCAAATTATCAGGTGTCTAGGCTTGATGGTATCAAATTAGCTATCACTCCAAGTAAATGAAGAGAACTTTGCAAGCTGTGTTAAATGGAAATATAGAGAAATAGGTATATAAACAGCGCGCAAATATACGGGTGGATTACAGCCAGATTCCAGTAAACAATGTTCAGAAGAGTGTGGAGCATTGGCAGAAATGTACGATAAGTACAGTTTAACCATGCGAAGGTGATATATTTAAAAGTAGTTTAGGATTGAATAAAAATGGGAAGGTGATAAAGAAGAGATCAGAAAAGACTTAACAGGAATTTTCTCTCCAGTATTTTCAAATTACATAAGTTCACTGTCTAATTTGTTTGCTGAACATTTTCTTTCTAAACTACAGTGCAATGTCTTCACCAGTGATTTTTTGTAGCTGAAGAGACCCCGTGTAGAAATCAATCCATGTATCTTTGTAATAAGTAGCGATTCAAAGTGTCCAAACTATTCCTTTCTCCTGAAAGATATTACAGAATTCGTACCTGACATTATTTCAGTGTTCTGTTGTGAAAATGATGCTTTCTTGCGCTTTGCTCAACAGCACAAGCAGATACGATGCATGTTACAGATCAGTGCACACAGAGAATATGCCATCTTCTTTTCTACCATAGGCTGCTGTTTCATCAATTACAAATTAAAACCTTGTCTGTTCAAGATTAGCCATAAAAGTCTGCTAATACAGGACACAATGAACCATCGGATTTTAATCAGTCATTTTGGGAATATATTCGTTGTTGAAATGAAATAGGGTACTCTTGGTGCGTAATATGGGAATTTGCTTGAATTCACATTTTTTTAGAGGTAGTGGATCAGCGTGTTGACAGACGATGTTGAAAGCTACATGAATGCGGAACTTTATGAATGTGAAAACAGACAGTAAATTTATTGCACACAAGGTGAATCATCTTTTCATTGGAATGAAATGAGTTCTTCAGAGTATGTTTAGCCAGCTGTTATCGAAGAGACACCATATTTTTGGCCAACCAGTGAGAAAATTTGTAGAGCGAGGAATTCTTAGCTGACAGCATGGTTCTCACTGGAAAATCTGGATTGCCTAGCCTTTCTAGGCCGTGCAAATATGGTAGCTGGGAAGCCTAAAGGTTTAAATCCTCGTCAGATTCTCAATATTTTATTCCTCGAAAGATATCCAAGTGCTTTCTTAAGCAAAAGAATTTTCAAAAGAATCTTATAATCAGCATACATTTTCCAAAACTAAATAGCATGAGTCTTTATAGTTGCTTGAATTATTATTATTATTATATTATTGTTTCCTTTCATTCCTAGAGGAACATAGGGCTTCAGCCGTGCGTCTTCATTGCGTTCTGTTCTCTGCCAAAGTCTTCACCTGGCTCCAAGTCTGCCCACACGCTTTCATCTCCTCTTCACATGACCTCCTCCAAGTCACCCTTGCACTGACGACCAACTCGCCGCTTCCCTTTCGGGTTCCACTCGAGCAATGGCTTGTCTAGTGATGTCACTTGATGGTTTCCTCAGAGTATGGCCAGCCAATCCATCTCCATTTCTACTTGCATATTTGTTTCACAATCGGTTCCTGGTTGGTTCGCTCCCAGAGATCTCTGTTGCTGATCTTTTCTGGCCAGCCATCTGATCTTGAGTATTGAGCGAAGACAACTGTTAATGAAGGTCCCAATTGCTTGAATAGTTAAATAAGATTTACACTTAATTTAGTTTTAAACAGTATACGAAGAACAACTGGTCACGACTGGATTTCAACCACGACTAGAATTAGAAAGAATGCAGTACAGCAGACTGCGTTGACATGCATTCATAAACATCAACAACTGATTTAAAAAGTTACACATTAATTCATAATTATTCATCATGTGAAAAATGCAGAAGAAGTCGAAGTAATAAGCAATTTAGAATTTCAGGTTTCAAATACAACATTGCATGAACACCGCGCATGTGTTTTGAAGCCTGTTTGATAAATTTAATATGCTACACTTATCCTGTACTAAACAAAGTCTGTCGTTCATTTTCACCGTAGCCGTTTTATATTTTCGCGGGGAAACGTGGGGACGCAATATGACTCACAAACTCTAGACGTTTTGAGCTTTAAATTATGGACAAGATTGTTCAAGACAACCTGGATTTTCCTAGATAATGGTAGATAACTAAATTTTTTAACATTTGGATTAATTTCACTTTCCAGTCGGGAAA